GAAAGCAAGAAAGAAAGCAAGAAGGAAAGAAAGAAAGAAAGAAGGGAGGGAGGGAGGAAGGAAGGAAATTGTGAGGAATCTGATAGACCTTAAAGAGTTCCAAAGGCTGGCCTTGGTGATTCACAGTTGTAATCCCAGCAGTGGGGAGGTGGATGGAGGAGGATCCATGAGTCCCAGGAGGGTCAGAGAGTAGAGTGAAAAAGGCCAGGGAGGAGGCCCAGATCAGCCCCTTCCCCTTAGGGGAAGAAGACAGGGCATTTTTCTAGTGGGCATCAAGCTAGCTGCAACGCACCTAGGCTGGCAGGCAGGGCCCTGGGGCCCTGGCAGGAAGCAGCCTGGCTTTTCTAGGCCTTGTCTTGTTGCTAATTTTCTGGGCAGAGGCGGCGACGGCGGTAGAGGTGGTGGCAGTAACGGCGGTAGTTATGCACACTGTCTAAGGCTCTGGGAGTGCAGGCAGAGGGAGGCGAGGAGGAAAGCTAGAGAGCCAGACAGACACGGCTGGGGACGAAGGCCCCCTGCTGCCACTTCACGAAAGCTGAGCCTGCCCGAGGCGGGGAGAAGGTCAGAGCCGGCCCACCTGCCCCTCCCCACAGCCCTGGGGTTTGCCCAGGCTCTTCAGAGCCCGGAACTTACAGTAAATGTGTCACCAGTGGAAACTCTCAAAGGGGGTGAGGGAGAGGAGAGGAAAACGGGCCGCCAGGACTCCCAGCCCCCAGTTCCCGTCTTACCAACACCCCAGTCTCATCTTGCTGCTCGGGCTTACCTTTCAGTAAAGAAGCGTGGGTGAGAGGGTGCCCTCCCTCTGGGATATGCCAGGAAACAACACAATGGTTAGTAAGATAAGATGCTGGCCACAGGGCTCTGACTCCACCAGCATGGCTTCTGGCACATCCTACCTTGTCCTAGAGAGGAGGGTTTCCTTTGCTCTACTCATCTAGGCACATTTGAGAGCTCAGAGCTGTGTTCAGGAAATGTCAGGCTGAGGCTGAACGTAGCTGCCTTGATGGCCAAGCCACAGCTGCCAGCTCCTCCATCACTTAAAAAAAAAGTCCTCCCCCCCCCCCCCCCAAACTGGGAGATCACATGATTGGCAGTGTCGCTGACAAATCCCATCTAGCTGATGGATTGGGGAGAGTGTTTGTATTGAGGCTTGAAATCAGGGCCAGGGCGATCCCTTCCCTTTGTTCAAAGGGCCACAGCTCTACTTCCAGTTTCCTGGTGGTTAATTGGAGATAAGAGTCACCTGGACTTTTCTGCCCTGGATAGATTTTGTTTTTTTGTTTTTTTTTTTATTGTGAAAATACCAAACAGAGGGGTTACAATTACATGGGCAAGATAATGAGTACATTTCTTATCAAGCTTTGTAGCCTCCTCCTTTGTTTCCCCTTCCCATCCCTTCCCATCCTCCCCCTTACCCCGCACCCAATCCTTCTCCCCACCCCCCACCAAAGTTGTAAAGTTCGTTTTCAACATAAGGACTTGTACATCTCATTGTTGCAATGGGTCCACCTGTATCCCTGTTTTAACGGTTTGTTTTTCCCCTTCCCCTCCACAAATTATACCTACATCAAATATAGTGAAAGCAGGGGTTATACCGTGGGGGAGGGATATACAAAGCAACAAAGAAATCATCTTATAAATGTGTTAGAAACAATCGCATGAAAGAAAAAAAACATTTGAATATGTATCTTAGGGTTCATTTCCCTAACATCAACTTATCTGACCTTTTCTGCTTGACTCAGACCATGAGCCTCAGAGCTCAGCCTCCTGAGTAGCTAGGATTACAGGTGTGAACCACCTGGCTCATACCTCCACTCTGGCTTTTCTCATGGACTTTTATGCCCAGGCTGGCTTTGAACTACAATCCTCAGATCTCAGCTTCCTGACTAGCTAAGATCACCAGTGCCTGGCAATGAAATATAATGTGTGTGTGTGTGTGTGTGTGTGTGTGTGTGTATCTGTGTCTGTGTGTCTGTGTCTCTGTTGGTATTGGGAAATTGAGACTTGAACTCAGGGCTTTGCACTCTTGTTTAGCTTTTTTGCTCAAGGCTGATTTTCTACCATTTGTACTCTACCTTCACTTCCCTGAAGGATTTTTTCTTCACCCCCCCCCCCCACAGCCCCCAGTTGTGGGGGTTGAACTCAAGGCCTGGTCACTGTCCCTGAGCTTTTTTGCTCAAGGCTAGCATTCCACCACTTTGAGCCACAACTCCATGCGATTCTTATCTCCATGATGTTTCTGCCTGGGCTGGCTTTGAACCTCAGTCCTCAGATCTCAGCCTCCTGAGTACCTAGGATTATATGTGTGAGCCACTGGGGCTGGCTTCCCCAGTGGATTTTTTAGGGCAAACTTAAATGTCAAATGATCTTCTATCTGCTAACTGCCCAGTCTATTTTTGAGTCACTTCTTCATGCCAACACTGATGTTATCAGCCAGTTAATAACTGCTCAAATAATCAAAACAAATTTATCACATTTACTCAGAGGTTCTCAACTTTCCTGGTTATTAGACCTAGGATACCTGTTAAAAATTCAGATTCCCAGACTGCCCCTTGCCAAACCCAAACCCAACATGTTCTAAGCTCTAGATTTTGAGAAGGATGGTAAACTGAATTTTTTTTAAACCCCTCAAATTATTTTGATGATGGTACATGCTAACCGAAACCAAGTAGAACTAGAAAAGTCAGACCTGCTCTGCCAGTTAAATAACCAGATTGGTTTTAAAACTGAAATGTAATGTATTTGTATTTTCAAGGTCATCTCCTCTCCAGTGGTAGGTACTCAATGCTTAGCAATGTTGCTCTGTCTGGTTGCCTTAGGAATGTGAACATTAAAATCATGTCAGAAATTCTTTGGACTCAGCTGGGCACCCGTAGCTCAGGCCTGTAATCATAGCTCCCCAAGAGGCTGAGATCTGAGGATCGTGGTTCAAAGCTAGTCTGGGCATTAAAGTCCATGAGATTCTTATCTCCAATTAACCAGGAGAAAACTACAAGTGGCTCTGTGGCACAAAGTGGTAGAGCACTAGCCTTGAGAACAAAAGCTCAGGGACAGCACCCAGGCCCTGCCGCTTGAACCCCATGACCTAGAAGAACAAGGAGGAGGAGGAGGAGGAGGAGGAGGAGGAGGAAGAGGAAGAGGAGAGCAACAACAACAACAAAAACAACAGCTTTGGACTTTTTGAATTGGGCTCATTTCCAGAGTATAATCTCTGGTGTCTAGATGATGCCTGACTCTGATCTTCCCTGGCTAGCAAGTGTATGATGACCCAGTTAGAGCAGGGAAAATGGCTTCTATGTGTCTACACAGGCTTTAAGTACACTGAAAGTTCACGATCATTGCCCCCTTAGGCAAGGCTTGACTTTCCATGGTTTTACTACTTGCAGTCGGTTTGCAATCTGAAAATATTAAATGGAAAGTTCCAGATATAAACAATCATGGCATTTAAATAATCTTCATTCCAGGGTATTGTTAAAATTGCTCTTTTATTCGTAATTATGTATAATTTATAACATAACTTGGTCTAGCATGTATTGGCTACTACTCAAGATTTTGGAAAGTTTTAGAATTTTCTGGAGAATAAGGGAAGACTATTGTGCTGTGAAATTCACTGTTGGCAGGGCAGAGAGGGGTGGATAGAGCCCTTTGGCTGTCTTTGATCCTGTCATATCCATGAGGCCCCTAACTGTGCAAGAATCTAGGAGATGGTGGCCAACCAGCCATGAACTATTTGTAGGAATCAATGTGAACACCTGCTGGTCACTTTCTGTTGGCATATGCTTGCCACTCTCAACACATAGGCACACTTGCAGACTTGTCTGCACACATTCCCACAAAACAGCACATTGATTCATATACCTTGGTGGGGCTTTTCTTTTCCTGCTACTGGGATTTGAACTCAGACCCTCATGAAATGCTCTGCTTCTTGAGCCCTGTCCCCAGTCCTTTCTTGCTTTGGTTATTTTTCAGCTTCACGCTTTTTCCTTAGGCTGGCCTTGAACTCCTATTTCTATATCTTCAGCAACTAGGATTACAGGCATGTACCTCACCTTGGTGAGATTTCCTATTGTTTGTCCCCACAAAAACTCATATGGAGTTTTGGTCCCCAGTGTCACAGCATGGTGAGGTGGTGGGGCCTTCAAAAGATGATTAGGTCCTTAAGAGGGACTAATGCCTTTCTCACTGTCCAGAGACTGGTTACGAGGAAAGTGGGTTATTATAGAGATGAGCATTTCCCTCCTTACATACGTCTCTTCTGTATTCACCTACCTATGCCTCCATATTTCTACCCTGCATGTGTGAAACACTATGTAGCCAGCCCTCAGCCAAACAGAGAGTGGTTCCATATTCTTGAACCTCCTAAAGAGTGAGCTAGATAAACTTCTATTCTCTATAAAGGACCTGCCTCAGGTATGTTGGTATAGCAATAGAAAATGAACCAGGACTGGTTGAGAAATTGCTCTGTGTGTGTGTGTGTGTGTGTGTGTGTGTGTGTGTGTGTGTGTGTGTGCACGAGCGCGCGCGTGCGCGAGCATGTGCATGCAACAGGTCCTGGGGTTTGAACTTAGGGCCTGGGCTTAAACTCAGGGCCTAAGCACTGTCCCTGAGCATTTTTTTTTTAGGGCAAATCCACTTTCAACTTTTTGATGGTTAATTGGAGATAGGAGTCCCATGGACTTTACTGCTTCAGATGGCTTTGAACCAAAATCCTTAGATCTCAGTCTCCTAGGATTATAAGTGTGAGTTGCCATCACCGGTCTGAAAAATTTTTTATTGGTCAAAACAGCAAAGTTTTGGTGAAAACAGTGTTTCATATGGCTCAGCCCAATCTCCATGCATACACATACTGAGACAGTTGTACTCACACACATGCATGGCCATACATGCACATGTGCACACAGGTGCATGAATCTGGCTTCTCCTATACCCTTCCCTGCCCCACTCACCCACAGTGCCATCTTCCCTGGCTTTGATCACTAATGTTGACCGTTCCCTCACAGGAAAGTGAAGACCTAGAGAAACAGAACGCCGCTCTGCGCAAGGAGATCAAGCAGCTCACAGAGGAGATGAAATACTTCACGTCAGTGCTGAGCAGCCATGAGCCCCTGTGCTCCGTGTTGGCCAGCACCCCCTCGCCCCCAGAGGTGGTGTACAGCGCTCATGCCTTCCACCAGCCGCACGTCAGCTCCCCGCGCTTCCAGCCCTGAGCTTCAGTAGAGGGAACCTGCTCTTCTTGCAGGACCCAAGAGGGACACGCAGACTGTGGCCAGGCTGCCCCCATCTGGCTCAGCCCGCTGTCCATCAAGACACTTGATGGCAAAGTCCTGGGCAAGGACTGCACACAAGGACTGTAGTGGCCAGAGTGGCCAGCAGAGTAGTGCTGGCCCTGGGTAGCTGGACCCCCTGTGGATGGATGCCCAATCCAGACGAACATGAAGCTCAGTGTCCCAGGGGGGCATTGAGGGACACTGAGGGAGGAGGGCATAGAGGGGATATTTTTCTAAATAAATATTTTAAAAGAATTCAGGCTGGTCAGACAGCTTCTGAAACCTCTTACCCCAGCTACATTCTAGAAACTCTACATTCTGTGGGGCTGGAGACCTCCCTTCCTTCCCTTTGTCCTTGGCTTCCAATCCCCTGGAGACCACTAATAACGGCTTTCCCAAGGTTGGTTCTATGTAGAAGGCGGGGCCATTTTTAAAGCAACTTCAATGTTTCTCCTAAACAGCTTGATTTTCCTCCCCAGATCCACGCACCACAACGTTCCATTCCTCATTCATTGTCCTGCCCTTTCTAGATCATGAGCTGCTCTTTCACCACTTAGGATGAAGGTCCGGTGTAAGATGTCATCCAGAGACACAGATGTATTCTGCCAGCTGCTCTGTCCACATAGCCGTTCCCCAGGATGCTCTCCCTGTGCTGCAGCCTGGAGATTCAATGGACACAAAAGGCAGGACTTCACAGTCAGGGTGCCTTCCCGAAGCCTCTATCTCCCTTAGAGAGAGGTGATATTAAGCACATGACTTTGCTTGGCTCCCTGAAGCCCTCCAGGCTGCCATCCTGGATCAGGTGATCCCGAGTCCTCTTTGGTTCTTCCAGAGGCTGACACCCTGCCCTTATGCCCACCTGCTCCTTAAAAGTTCCTGGTCTGCATGCCTGAGCACCTGCCTGCCTTACCCACACTGTGCTGAGCCACAGTGGGACCACCCACATACTCTGCCTCTCTTGAGTCACCTGTGGACCAAATAGCAGGGATCATGGTGCCAGGCAGCCCTGTAGGATGACAGGAAAGGAGAAGCCAGCCATTTCCCTGTCTGGATGTCCCAGATCACCAGCCAACAGCTGCACCCACTTAAGGCCAGACTTCCCCTCTGACCTTCCACCCATGTCTCCTCCACCTGAATAAGGAATCGGTGGGCACCTACATCCTGTGGCCAATATGAGGAGTCCCTGTACACACACAGAAATGCTGTGGCTCTCATCTGCCAGGCCACTGCCTGAGCTCTGGCAGGGTGTGGGCCCTGGGCTGAACCCCGTCATTCAGAACTGGGGAGAGAGGGCCGCACACCTTCCCTGAGAGCTTGCTTTCCTTCCCACACAGAATTGGGAATCCTAACCACAGCTTTCCCAACAAAATGGCCAGCAGGGGCCCAATTCCAGGACAGACTCTACTTGGACTTGGGACTGGGGTGTGTGGTAGAGAGGAACCTCTTGTTCCCTATAGGGGCTGGGTTTGGGGAGCTAATGCTCTGCCTTGCTCTTTCCACCCTCTGTTACCTTGCAGAGCCAAAGCACTTCACATGTTGCATGTGTTAAATAAAATTCATTCTTCTTTCACAGTCTTTTTTTTTGGTGGGTGCTTATTGCTGGGATGGAACCCAGGGGCCATGTATCAGCTGGGCTAGTGCTCTGCCAATAAGCTATGTCTCAAGCGTCCCTCTCCCTTTCAGTCTTTGTGTGTGTGTGTGTGTGTGTGTGTGTGTGTGTTGGTCCTAGATCTTGAACCCAGGGCCTGGGCACTGTCCCTGTGCTTTTTTAAGGTTAGCACTTTACTATTTGAGCTGCAACTTCACTTTCGGTTTTCTGGGGGTTGATTGGAGATAAAAGTCTCAATGGACTTTCCTGCCTTTCACGGCTTTGAACTGTGATCCTCAAATCTCAGACTAATGAGGAACTAGAATTACAGATGTGAGCCACTGGCGCCAGCTCTCTCTTTCAATCTTAAGGCTTTGAGTCCAACTTTCTTAGCAGCCCACCCTGCCAGGGCCTGGTCTTTCATGAGCAGGCTTCCTTCCAGTCAGGGATTTTTCTCCCCACCCCTGCTGTAGCACTGTGATTTCCCCCCAGAAACCCCCACCAAGGGCACATGACCTCTACTGCCATCTTCTGAATGACACCCAGGGGCCAACTAGAATCACAGCGCTCACGTGTAAGGTTCCCGTCTCTCAGCAAGGACTTCTCTTCCCCTTTCATTCTCCACTTTCTAATGACCCCCAGGCCAGTTCCACTTCTCCTTTCTGATCAACAGTCTCTGTGCTGGAAGCAGCAAAGGGCCAAAGCTGGGGTAGGGGCCAGAGCTGACATTTCTCCACACAAGGAAATCTGAGAGGTAGCCATAAATAGAGACTTGAACTTTGTTATGTTCCTACCCATGAAAGGAATGGCTTTCCCAGGCCACTGGACTCATGTGCAAAGGTTTATGTGCTCAGGAGGGTACTGCAAATCCATGGTTCTCACAGAAGTCAATGGAGAAAGGTGGAGGGGTGCCTAATTAAGCACTGAGTGCCTAGCTTGCCTTGTCCCATGGGGCCAAGTTGGAATTCAGGTGAAATAATTGTCATATCTCCCAAGTTCTCAGGAAAAGCAAAATCAGAATATCCCCACATGAAAGATCCCAGTTGTGTTTGTTTTCTAGTGTTGGGACTGACCGCAGGGCCTACTACATGCTAGGCAAATGCTCTATCACTGAACCATATCCTCCAGCCCACAAGTCTCCCCATTTTTATTTGTTCATGTGTGTGTATGTGTGCTGATACTGAACTCAGGGCCCAGCTATTGTCCCTGGAGTTTTTTATTTTTATTTTTGAACTCAAGGCTATCACTCTACCACTTGAGTCACAGCTCCAGTGTCTGGCATTTCGGTGGTTCATTGGAGATTAAGGGTCTCTTAGACTTTCCTGTTTGGACTGGCTTCAAACCTCGGTCCTCAGACCTGTCTACTGAGGTGCTAAGATTACATGTGAGAGCCACTGGTGCCCAGGTCCCATTTTTAAAATATTCTGAAGACCAACAAACACATTGCTGGACCAGGGCAGCCTGGGATAAGAATTCAGAAACCACCTACTATACATCTAAATATTTAGACATTATCAATCAAATTTACAAATCAGGAAGAAAACACATTCTCTTTTCCTTGGCAAAGATGACTTCCTCCAGCTTTGCAACACCAGCTTTGAATTTAGTCTTTAGACACCTCACCTCAGAATTTTCCATCAGTGCCAGGTAGTGAGAGAGAAACCACTCTGAGGGTGGCCTGCCTGCCTCTCGTCCCTCCCTGACTCTTCCCTCCGGCCCTACCCCGTGGCTCCTAGTTCATGCTGGTAGGCACACCAGACTACAGGGTTGGTCCCATCCATACTCCCACTCCCCCTCCCCCTCCCCTCTCCCCCTCCCCCTCCCCCAGATGGTCAGCCCTCCATCTCCTTGGCATGCAGAAGTGTCTGGAAAGAGCTAGAGCTACAGCCACACCCTCCCACCCCTCCTGGTGTGTTTGGAGATGTAAGGGGGGTGGGGGTGGGGGGAGGAATCCAGCATAGTCTAGAAGAAGCCAGGGGTTTCTAAGCAGAGTGTCTCTTTTATCCTAATGACTCCTAACCCCAAGGGAAAGGGTGGAGCCAAAGAAGGGGCTGGTCCTTATAAAAAGGACTCTCTTTTTGCATAAGTCTGGGGGTGACAGCACAGTGGCTGTCCAGTTTGTTACTTTGGGAAAGACCCCCTCTCCCATAGGGCAAGAAACGGGCACAAAGTAGCCCTGTTATTGTTATCTATCACCCAGACTTTGAATCTTACAGGCTGGGTTACTCCCTGAGCAAGGAGCAAAGCGCCGGCTTACCAGAAAGCTGCTGCTTTCCAGCACTCAGGTTGAGAAGCGTGGGTGGGGAGAAAAGGAGGACAGCATGAGTCCAAAGGTCACACAAAGGCTTGCTGGACCCAGACTTACCAGCAGTGTGTATTAGTAACTCCAGCCATGTGGCGCCCGTGTCACGTTTGGGACTGTGACTTTGTGGTGAGGGACAATGAAGCGCCCTACTTCTTTGGGGGACAGTCAGGCAATCTCTACCTCACAGTCCCCCTCCCTCTACATACAGGTTTCAAAGCTTCTAAGAATTCCAGGTGATGATGGGGCTGGTGGATGAATCAACACACAGCAACATTTCAGATTCTTCTCTCTGGGGGATGGGAGAAGGACTGGCACTGTAGGAGGCTCCTAGGGACACTGAGGTCTAACTGCAAGTAATGAGGAGCAAATGGCGGATTTTAACCTTTGCAGCGAGTATGGAGAGATCACAAATGGAAAAATTGTGTTGGGAAGAAGAGCAAGAGATGGAGGTAGAAAGGGAACAGAAATGATCCCACCTAAAAGTCTTTTTTTTTTTTTTTAAAGCACTTGTTATAGGATTTGTGTGACTCCCCTTCTAGAAAAATAAAATAAAGCCTTGATCATGGTCTGAATAATACATTGATTTTGAAGGATTGAGTCCAGAGGCCACCAGCTACCAAGGTTAGGAGCCATGTCAGGGGCTGATGGGTACCTTCCAAAGCCATTGTTTCTCTCATTTTAATGGCAATGTACCATGATGGGGGGGAGAGAGGAGGAAGATCGCCCTGGCTGCCTTGCCCCTAGGGATGACCATGTGATAGTTCTGACCAATGAGATTTAAGCAGCAACTGCTAGGAAGGGCTTATGGGAAAGCTCTTTAAGAGGTGAGACTATCTCCATGGGTACATGCCCTTCCCATTTTTGCTTCTCCTTCTTTCTGCCTAGAAGGTGGTTAGGATGCTGCAGGTGGGGCAGCCATCTTGGGACCAGGACCAATCTATGTATACAAAAGAGGTGGAGAGATTCTAGGTCTGTGTTGGTACTGCAGAGATGTGACCAAGATACTAGCTCCAGACAGCATGCTTTACTTCTTCATAGTGGAAGAGAATCTGTTTGGCCACACTACTGTAAGTTGGGTTTTCTATTCAGTGCGGCCTAATATAGAAACCAGAGAAGTAAACAATCAAACAAGAGGGGGCTGGGAAGGTGGCTCAGTGGTAGAGTGCTTGCCTTGCATGCCTGAGGCCCTGGGTTTGATTCCTCAGCACCAAAAATATGCAAAAAGAAAAAAGCCAGAAGTGGTGTTGTGGCTCAAGTGGTAGAGCACTAGCTTTGAGCTGAAGAGCTGAGGGACAGTGCCCAGGCCCAGAGTTCAGGCCCCACGACCAGACCCAAAAACAACAACAACAACAAAAAAAAAACCCACAATCAAACAAGGAATATAAGCCCCAACTCAGACAATATCGGCCAGGGTGAGGAGATAGTCTCAATTGTTTCAACCTGGGGAAGAGCTGCACCTGGCAATGATGGGTGGGTACCGATGGGTGCCCATCCTCCACAACAGAGCCTGTTTTGCTTTCCTGTCACTTCATTTATTATTATTGTTGTTGTATATTATTTGTACCAAGGGTTTTCACCATGGTATTTCAGACATACATATATTAATTAGCCTAAACTTCTCTATTGTTTTGTCTTCCCCCACCCCCACAAATCTCTATGAATCAACAGCTCTCATTGAGATTCCTTATGCCATTTTCATACATGGCTGCTAAATGTTTCAAAAGTATTCACCCTTCAAGCTAGGTGCTGGTGGCTCACAACTGTAATTCTAGCTACTCAAGAAGCTGAGAACTGGGGATTGTTTGAAGGCAGCCCAGGCAGGAAAGTTTGAGACTTTTTTAATTTTTTTTTTGGATCCGGTCGTGGGTCCTGAACTCTGGGCCTGGGTGCTGTCCCTCAGCTCTTCAGCTCAAGGCTAGCGCTCTACCACTTGAGCCACAACGCCCCTTCTGGCTTTTTTCTTTTTGCTTATGTGGTGCTGAGGAATCAAACCCAGGGCCTCATGCATGCAAGGCAAGCGCTCTACCACTGAGCCACGTTCCCAGCCCTTGTGAGACTTTTAACTCCAATTAACCACTAAAAAGCCAGACATGAGGCTGTGGCTCAGGTGGTATAGTTTCAGCCTTGAGTGGAAAAAAAAGCTAAGAGACAGCGCTCAGGCCTTTGGCCCAGCCAATCAGGCTCTTCCCTGGGACTTTGGCTTTTCAAGAGAAAGACTTCAAAGGCAATTGGAGTCCCTGTCCACCCGCTGTGAATTCCCGGTGAGAGAGAAGTCCTGGTTCCTGCCTTTTTCTGAGCCACTTTCTCCATCCTTCCTTGCTTTCTCTCAGCCACATGCTATCCTTCCAGTGTATACATTTCCTGCTCAAGTCAGCCAGAGTAAGCTGCCATTGTGAAACCAAAAAGTGATGAATCATATCTGGGTTTCCCAAGGATGTAGGGCTCAGATATGAATTCTCAAGGGCTCCCTGACAGGGTTCTGGGACACCTGTGATCTGTCAGAAACAAGGCCTTCATCCAGACCTGCACCAGCCTCAGAAGCCGCTGACTTGGATACGACACATTGCTGCTGCTGCTGCTGCAAAGAACCTGGGTTCTTAGTTGAAAACTACCACTGAGAGCTGCAGCTTGGCCACCAGCTTGGCCCTGTCCCTGCCAGTCCTGCTGTGGTTTAGAC